ATATTTATTCATTGGATCATTGTGGTCGATATAATCCCAGACGACCAGGAAAAAACAAGTTCGTCGTGGACTACCAGTTCGTCTTTTTTCTTATCCGTTCAGTGTCCATGAAGTAAGTCTGCGTCATCGTCGAGAATTCGCTCAACATCAATCAGGGCCTTCTCGTTTCCCTTTGTGTGTGAAATTACTTTCTGGTCATGCTTCTCCAGTGTGCGAATAGGTTCGTATGCTGCTTTTAGGACAAATCGGGCGCCCAGGAATGAAATATGGTTGGTCAGATATCCCTAATTACCAACCTGCAGGGGATCCCATTCGAGGCGACAGAATAGATTAGTTGGAAGGCCGCAGATAATCAGTCGTTTTCGGGGGGGGGGGGGGGAGGAACAAATCTTTCAATGACAAAGGTCAGCGATGGGAGTTGCATTCGCCGGCGTTTGGTGTTCTTTGCTAACATCACTATGGACATTCGAAATTCACATCTTCCTGCGGCATATAAAATTAGCTTCATCAATTGGCACATGACTCTTGCCAGTGAGGTTTTCTAATCTACCCCTTCGATGCCAGTAACCTCTACCGATTCTCAATTACATCTTTACATCTTATCTAGGCCTACTACTTGGAAAAAAAAGGCGTCTATGGACTTGGTACACAGGTACTGTACAAGGACTGTACAAGGAAGAATCCAAAAGTTTTTGCCAGAGGTGGTAGAAATGATGAGAGGAAGTTGAAAGTTGCTGGTGTTCGAGGGCCAGCAACTTCTAACAGGATTTCTGCCTTTTTATTAATAGATCAGTGGTATTTAGAGAATGGTGTAGCCAAATGCTAAACTGGAGAAATTTAAATATAGAGCAGTGATACAATTTTTCTCTTTAGAAATAACATGAAGTCGGATGGAAGTACAAACTCATTCGCCTTCATGCATGCATGAATGCGAAGGTTCCATATGTCGTGGAGAAAAAAAAATAGCGGAACCCACGACCCTCAAGGCTTCTGCAAGTAAGCGTATTGCTAAGACACTTCCGTATGACTACGCTTATCTTTAATAACCCTTATTTTTTTTACATTACGATATCTGTCGCTTGTAAGATGGAACGTCGTCTCTTCCTCTTCCTCATTACCCATCTTGCTTCTCGAAGGAACGCGCATTTCGACCACGCGCGCCTATTCTGAAATTCGGCCTACGGTGATTATTGATACGGAACACTATTCCCATCAAGACCCATTAATCCGGGCAAGGGCTGGCTTGTAACCCGAGGGATATTTAGGGGTTTGGGATCCTCACGCATGCAGGAAAAGCCCTGGAAAGCCTTCGTTGGGCTGGTAAAATTCTTCGAGGAACGATTTTGCTGGTTGTGCAATTGTGCAATCCCTCCACGAAACCATTTACGAGAAAGAGACGGTTTTCCTTCTCTATCTCGTAAATGGCTTCGTGAAATCCCATTTGTGTCTGTAACGAAGAAGAACCACCTCGATACCATCCAATATGATTTCGAAATGCAGCTCACCTATCCCATCGTGCTACATCCAGAATTGTACTCTGCCCCTAGCTCGGTGACCGCCTTTCCCTGAGTTTTCAGGACAATCCCACAGGGATTATATTGGAGTCCACTCCGGAATGAAGGTGATCCCCGTATGCTGTATTCGTCGCGGGAGTAAAAAGGAACGAGCGAGAGAAGTGAAGAGGAAGATCGCCGCCTGGGCAGACACAATCACGCAACTGATAGGGAAAAAGTTTTGTCAGCTGAAATCCAGATTGATCAGTCTTGTGCCGCAGTCGGGTGGGACGCCGGAACCATGTCGAACGTGGGTTCGATCCGGAGCCCAGAGCCGTAAAACACGCTTTAACCCTTTCAGACCTGAATTAAGGCCACTATTGGAATAATATACTTTTTTGCATTTTTGAGCTCTTTTCCTATTCTATGTTTATGTTTATGTTTATGTCCTATATTTCGTTTTTATCGTTATATAAATTTACCATATCATTATGTATATTGTATATTATACATGTAATTACGTAACTGAAGATTACAAAACTGACGGGTGAGAGAAGGCCTCCAGACGCAATTGAACCATGCATAATTGAGTTCATTGTAATGTAATATGGGACACAAAGTCACGAGAATCCCAAGAAATTACCATAGAAACAATGAAAATGTAATGTCCATTGGAATGGACGCGGGGTCAGAAAGGGTTAAGAGGCGTTGAATTGAGGCGCTTGCCGTTCAACGTTATCGAAGGGATAATATTGATGATTCTCCACCTATCATGAACTCTCTATCAAGATGGTCTGGAGCGAAGCAGTCAAGCTGAGAGAGTCAAGTGAGTGAAATGAAACTTGCCGCCTTTTTTTTTATTACTTTTTATTACACGTTCAGAATTTTTTTTCTCCCGAAAATCGACTTGTCGTATCCCATAAAAATTAGGATGGCACTGATATTTTTTATTATACTAATGAAAGCAGAGAAATAAAGCGAAGGGAAAGGCGTTTTCTTATTGCCTGCACCAAGCATGTATATGGACACACGACGACGGTTCACCCGTTTTTCCTTTCAAGCGATGCCGACGCCTCTGGGCTTCCTGTTTGGAGAATAGTAGTTGCAACATTTTGGAAGTAACTCATATGAGCGAATTCAAAAGCAGAATTAGTAACAGGAATAAAACCGATCCCCCAAAACGGTCTCAATGACTTTAAAGGTGACAACTTTCTCGTCTTCAGCAGAGAGGCCAATGGATGGGCCTACGACGCGGATCTACCGTGACGTTCAAGTAAGCTAAGAGAGCTGATGTTCATTCTCGTAATTGAGGAGCCTCATCCCCCGTCACCCAGTTACATTTATTTCACGCGTGAATCTTCGGATGACGTCCACGTCAAGCATCTGTATTATTCCCAACATAACGGTTTCCGGTGTCCGTCTGGATGTTTTGCTTTGAGCCATGAGGCCGTCATATGACGTCCTACGCCCAAAGCACATTCAAATTGCCAGTGCTCAAAGTGTTAAAAAAGAAACTTCATTCAGGGACCAACGAAGGGGATTTGGGACAAACGCTGTCCCGAATGCGATCCTCCAAGAATATCTTTCTCCGGTCTCGCTAAGGGATAGACAAGCTCTAATCAGGCTAGACATCGTAGGTCGGAAACCGACTTCACTTTCTACTGCCTGCAGGATGGTATTTTGTACCGTTAATACATATGGCGTATCTATAAATGCCACTTGTCGATATCTACAGTACTTATTATAATTAGTGATGACTTTCCCCCTCCTCGGCGCATATGAGTCAGTCTGCTGAAAGGTGATGCAGGCCGAGGGCCCCGGGGCGTCGATAGATCTCAAAACAACTCGCATCAAAAATTCTCTCGCTCCTCCTCCGCTCGTTTTCATGATTGCCGACTTCGCCGATAGATAAATGTTTCCTTGAGTGTAATCTATCAATGGGATATTAATTTAAAAAAGAGCATTCATTCACACCATCGATGCACCACTTCAAGAGAGCCTACTAGAGTGAAGAGGAGACAGTTGACGCGGATCCCATTCATTGGCAGGGTCGCAATGAAGATGTTACGGTCGATAATCCATCTATCGGACACCTCTGGAAACTCTTCCACGGTCAAGCAGCGTGCTCCATGAGACGCAAGCATTCCATTCAGTAACGACGCGTCAAATCTTCGAATCCCAATTCTGCTCTAAAAAGAAAAAACCTTGCCAAATAATATTCTTATTTTTATTGCCTCAATAATTTAGAAGCTTCTGAGATCTACATCTATATTTCTGCGACATGGTGCTCACTCCTTACAGTGAGAAGGAAAGTTTTCAGCAGAGTAGGTAAAAGCATAGAAGAAAATGCGGGGAAAATGCTCTCGGGGAGGCGATGATAAGCGTGTGGGTATCTGGCGATATCCTCATTCATCTCGATAAGGCTTTTTATTTATTTTTTACTCTGAGTTCTCAAGTGACTCTTCGGAACGACATCGGTGTAGCAGTTCCCTTGACGAGGTATCACGGAGGGTCGAGATGACTTCGACGTATTGCACATAGAAGCCCTTTAAACATTTATGAGATGGCTCCTGGTTGTACTCGATGTCAAGATGAAAAGAGCAGCGCAGCGTAATCGCATGCCCCAAGGGCTTGTTGGTGGTGAGAAACTGAGAAAACGACTTTACGTTCATGTTCCGTTGTGCGTGGCAGGAAATGCCGCCCTCGGTGCGAGGGCAAGGGAAAAAAAGTCACAACAAAATTTTTTTCCTACGTTCTGTCTTCCTATGGGAGGTAGGGGAGAGGAGCATTGTACGACGTCAGCCATGAGGAGAGGCAAGGCATGAGGAGATGAGAAGGATAGTGGCACTCGTAAAAGCCAATCATCCATTAGCCACCAATAACATAAGTCTGCAAGTGAAGCCTTTCATTCTGATTGGCATTGGGATTTCTGATGGCATACCCATTGATAATTTCCAAACGAAGCTCCTACTTGCCTGGTTACAGGACTGGACCTACCACTAAGCTAAATAGTACTGTATGTCTGAGAGTTTTCGAACATCCGTCTATCCATATATCTAAAAGAATGAAACCAAACTTCGCGCTTTTGCCTCGACACATCGCGGGAAGAAAAAATTGTGAATACGTTGTGTGACATTGATAAATATGAGAGAACCTGATGTGGTGGTCCAGACAGGAGGATGGGTGAGAGGGTCACTAAAGGACGTCATATGGATTGCCTGATGAAGGTGCAGCAACGCGAAGTGGAGGGGGAAAGGGAGAAGGGAAAAGGGGGACATGGGGAGGACGAAGAGTTTTGGCGGAAGACGTAAGAATGACGCCATCTATTACCGAAGTGAATAGGGTAGGAGGCCTCGCTGAGGTGTAGCCCTGGGGTAGCAGAGGATGGATGCATCTTCCCCACTTTCACACGCATGTGACGTCATCCTCCCCCCTTCCCCCCCCCTCCCCCCCCCTCCGCCAGCCTCGTCTATATAATGAGGCGGCATGCTCGTCTTCCTCCAAGAACTCGACATTGGTGGTGTAGGACACTGAAGATCTTCTGCCCTCCGTCTGTGGTACTCTCGCTCACGTGGTTTCCACCATGTTCAAATACGCTCTCCTAGCCCTCGCTCTAGTCGGTGCTATCATGGCCCACACCATTTCGGTGAGCGATTGTGCCAAGCCGCGCACTGTGGCCAATTGTGCTCTCTTCAGTGTTTACTATAGAAACGTAATAATGGAATCCTGCGTGGAAGTGACTTATCAGACGTTCCAGAATCTATTTAAACCTTTTGCGAGAGCGTTTTTCAGTCGTTCAGAGTGAAAAAGAAGGAAAGCGTCAGTTTCTTCGAAGGATGTGCATGGTACACCCCTGGTCAAAACGTTTCAAGGCTCTTGCTTCAACAATCGCTCCTACGCTAAGTGCAGTAAGAGCATTGTTGAAGTGGAAGCTTAGAAAGGTTTCTGATCAGTGTTGAATATTTTCTCCTTTCTTTTAAGACTTTTGCCTTAATGAGTTCTCCCATATTAAGTTCTCCCTCGGCGATGGCGTTTTGGATCGAAAACCTAGAGAAGGAAAATAATTTTAGATTAGGCTGAGCAACTCAGTCGTTAGCGAGAAAATCATATCCACCAGCCAAATCGAAGAAATCTTATTGCAACCATAAAGTTTGTAAGACTTACTCTTACGATGGGAGTACAACCGTTTGAATCCTTACTTAAGTTATACCGTTCTAAAAAGGCATTGCCTTTATGATCACTGTCCATTTGGGGATTCCATCATTCCGTCAGGCACATTCATGAGGGTCTGAATTCAATTAACCAAGGGATTGTGTATGGCTTTGCAGAAGCGGCAGGCCGTTGATTGGAACGACCCAGTCGCACTTGGTGAGGCCATCGTTGCCATGTTCAATGGCCAGCTAAGCTTCCCGCAATACAACCCTGACAGTCTCCCAACGACCAAATTCGATTGCTCTCAACAGCAGCACGCTGGCTACTATGCAGATCCGGAAATGGAATGCCAGGTACGGATGATTCTCTTCTTGATGCACTTCGTCATCATGAAAGATCTTGAAAGATAATTAAGGTTTTCAGGCACAGATTCTGTCTAGGAATATAAGTTGAGAGTCTCTTAGAAAAACTGTGGTCTCTCCTTCAACCCATGAAGGTGCGAGGGTATCGTCTTTGCATTCATAATCAGCATCTCAACGCAAAATGCTTAAATTTCTTTAAATTCATGAAATTTAAGGTCAATTAGTCATTCTACAGTGAAGTTATTACTGAATGAGGCATAAACCTAAGATATTGGACTATTCGAAAAAAAATTTGGACAGAGTATTTTGTAGAATGCATAGATTCATGTTAAAATCTCTTAGGGAAAGCTCGATATTCCTCAAAGTACGCCCTCTATCAATGGAACAGAATCGGTTCGATTTTGGTGACGCCATTGAGGTTACGTGGATCACGGAATACTGTGGGAAATTCCGAACGTAAGGCGAAAGAGTCTCACGTGTCATAAGCAGGGGAAAAAAAGGAAAGCTGCAAGAACGACTGAGTTCTTTGTAGTCTGCGGTCGAAGATTATTTTCAGGGATTGATGAATCTTTTGCGGTTTTAGCGAAATCTGTAAAGTAGTCATTTCACTAGTGGAAAAATTGCAGAGGCGTCACGTGGGATTTCAGTGCAGAAACCCCATGGCGCGGAAGTGAAAGAAAGAGAGAGGAGACTTCGTGGTCACGACTTCTGACTTGAAGATGGCACACTGAGATTAACCCCACACCCGTGGTCCTCTTTCCTCCCCCCCTGCCATTCCACGTTATTTATTATGATCAAAGACGTATATGGTCCAACTTCCTGCAGATGCGGGGGTTACGAAAAATTTATAGGATGATCACTTTCTATTTCGAAAGTAACAGATCTGCGAGCTTCATTATTCCTACCAGAGGGAGAAAGAAAACAATAGAACTCTCTAAAGACGATTGGAAAACAATCGATTCATAATGAGAAAGGGAAAATTTTTCCGTATGGTTCCCAGACAGCATGAGAATTCTCGTGAACTCTACAGCAAAAGTCTGATGGTCTTTCCCTCTATTGGAAGAACTCTTGTATTTGTGTGCGGCAGGTGTTCCACGTGTGCAACCAAGAACTGGGGATTCAGTCGACCTTCATCTGCCCTAACATGACGGTGTTCAGCCAATACTACCTGACGTGCATGTGGGCCCCAGCAGTGGATTGCCAAGCCTCGTCTCGATATTACGCACTGAATGCCAATCTCTTCCAAGGCCCGAACCTCGACTACTGGGGCAACACCGTCCCCAACCAAATTTTGGCTTCCCCCAATAAGAAGTAATAAACTTTTTTCTACGCTTCCAGTAGCAGACACGATATTCTGAACGAGACGTGCCATGAACCTGCCGACGTCCGGAAGTGTTCCTCTCCCTTCCTATGGAAAGTGTCTCTTTTTCTCTCAGACTTCTCGACGAAAGAATTCGATCTGCCGACGCAGGCGTCCCCAAATAATCTTTTAAACACTTTTCCTGAAATTAGGACCCAGAGGAAGGGGGTGGAGAATAAAAGGAAATTACTTTTCATATAAGACGAATTTCATATTCAATGACCACTGGATAGATCCAGAACAGCACACTCCCACCTGAACGAGACGATTACTTTACTTCATCAACGATATCCTGTAACAGTTTCCAAATATCTCCGAAAGACGGAATCGTAAACGGAATTGATACAGATATATCACGGTACAGAATACACCCAAGTTGGATTTGGGCCATAAAGGTGAATTCTTGATGGTAATTGAGCAAGTAGAGCTCTTTATTTCAGTGTGTCAATGTGAACTAACTTGAATTACTTCTACTAATTAACTTGAATTTATGTGACAGCTATTCCAGAACTGCAACAACGTTCATGTTGGAAGATGGCAATACTGAGGCATACCATATTCTCAAATCCCAAGCATAATTAAGAGAATGTAATAGCTATGGCCAGTGGCGACTCGTGATATTTAGCGCTAGTGGTTCGTCTATGGAGAGGTGGTAGGCAGCACCCTCGTCCCCTCGTCACCCTCCCCAGAGTCACTGGTTATGGCAAAAAAGTTGGAGGGGGGGGCCACAGCGTTTAAATCACACATGAGCATCCTAATAATGGGAACATGACGAAACATTCTCCTCGTGGGGCTCCTCTCTGCAAGCGAAAACTGCAGGTACCCTCAGCCTTTATAGCTGACGGTCCTTTGGGACCTTCCTCTTAAGAACCAGACTCTTCTTGAGACCAGCTTTCAGATACATTTAGCATCCAGCCAGACCCATCTCAATTGTTCCACCACACACCACACAGAGAAAGGCTTGACGTATTTACCTGACCAGCACAGAGGCCGACGCTCTTCCTTATCCAAGGACTTCGGAGAATCCTCAAATAGCGGCTGAGTAATTGGCGAAAGTCTGGAAATGAAGATTCTACCAAGCTGCTACTTTTCCTTTATGCTCCAGCTCGGTAAAGGGATCGAGTCTGGCTAGCCGCATGTAATCGTTATTAGACTCTTGTCTTGAAACAGAGATAGGGCCTATCCAACCTCAAAGCCGACCTCTCTACACTCTGGAATACCTTTTCCTGAATCGTGCACCTAGCGGAGCGTTGAAAATAACCAAAAGCGCTATTGATCACCACATAGGAGAGGCTCAAGATAAGACAAGTCACGGAATGAAAATACGATCTTGCCATGCTCCGTCTTCGAGGGAGATGAGGGGGAGGCATCCCGTCAGATACAAGAGGAGACAAAAACTCGCGTGGTGGGATAACATGCAATCGGTCGCTCACGCCACTCGAGCCTCCTCGGCAAGGGCAGCTTTTCACTTTAATTTTTATTTTACTTTAACACGAACGTACACGAACGTGTTTAAGCTGACCCATAATCGGCTCTGTAGATACAGCTCCAGATATAAGTCTGTATGAATTTCATTGCGCAACTTCCCATAGTTTCTAAGAATTTAAGAAATAAACTCTACCGAAGAAGCGTACTTAAGAGATGAATTTGACTTTGCCAAAGGATATTGTCAAGGGACACTCTTCCTCGCGCGGTTTCAGAGCTGGACCGGCCGCTATGTCAAATTTGATCGTTGAACTCTTCATAATTTCAGAAATTAAAAAATACTGGAAGTAGGATTCATCAATCAAAAGGGCTCGTTGAAGTACAAACTGCGGGAGTTGCAGGTTCCAAGCTTCAGATATCTTGCAGTTCATTTTTTCAATTTTCTGTCCATCCCAGACATCGCCGATTCCGCATAACCAGTCAGACCACATTACCCACTGTTGATGCTTACGATGGTGGAATAATGAATAAAATTACGGTACATTGAAATTTCACATCGTCAACAAAATAGAAGGTTTAAACGTTCAGGATTATGAATTTGAGATTGCGGATGACTCAAGGGGGACGTACTCTTAAATGATACTGTAGGTGATTTTAGGAGGAATAAAGAATTCCCAATGACTTCTGAATAAGACACCTAAGTTTATAAGTTAATAAGTTGTGAAGGATTCCCATTTTGCATGATTTTGTGAGGTGCTACTTAGCAAGTGGATATGCGAACCATATTTTATGGCGCCAATCATCAATCATGATTCCCTTCCCGGATTCAAGTCGATGGAGTTTTCGGTTGGCCAGATACAAAAATTGTGAATGTGCACCGACGACTTTTCTTTATAGCGTAAAAAAGAAAATGTTTCCTTATCCCTCTGATATTGAAGACAATTAATATATATTAAGAAAACCACAAATGAGAGTAGGAAAAGGGATGCATAGAGAAAAATGGAAAGACGAGGAGGAGACGAGATGAAAAAAAGGAGAAAGTGACCAAAAGGCGAGAAAGAAAGAGAAAAACGGCCGAAGAGGAAGGAGGGTGCAGCCTTCTACACCCACTGGCATTCCAAACGGCTACGTCGTGATCCCGGGGTCAAGGCCGCGACGTATCGTTCCTTCACGTTCGAGTAACGGTGACAACAGACAGCTGTTCCGGTAGCTTCCAGGCTTGGATGGAATGAGCTTCGTCATAGAGGCTTTGTTTTCTTGTAAAGTTCCCTATCTGAAATTTCAGATGTGAACCGCACGTGGGAAGTACGTGACGAGTACACCTCGCACTAAGTGCGAATATAAATATTTAGTGCGAGTCTTCTCTCGAGAACCCAGTGGAGATTCACTTTCACCGTCTTAAAGCGATGGACTATTTGAGGACATAGATACAACTCGTACAACTCTGAGAGCTAGAAACGTGATAGGCTTGACAGCAATCAGACCCTCGTGGCGGCTGCATGTGATTGATCCTGTGAAGATGCTCTTGCGCATGTGTGAGATTATTTGGAGTGCTCCGTGTCTTTTGACCGAAAGCAAAGACTGCAAAGGAAGAAAAGCAAACAAAGGAAACTAACGAAACAAAGGTGTGGTCTATTGAAACAATTGCCAACGGAAACCCATACGCCACAAAAAAAGGAGAGACCCTTTTTTTTTCAACATTGCATTGTGTAATGAACATATATGGGACAGCTGCCGTCTAGAATCAGCTGGGCTTTCGGAATTCAAGAATAAAAGGATTCACGCGATACCCAAGCCGACAAAAAAAAAAACGGAATCAGTCAGAACCGACAATAAAGTAATAAAAAAATTTTTAATATGAACAGGGACTCGCAGCAGTAGCCTATGCCGTAGAAAACTTAACACCGAATATAATCTCGCAGCAATGTGAAACTTGTTGAAATCTGGCTCTATTTTCTCACCCAGAACGCCCACCCAGAATCTTCCACTTGAGAATTCTCAGGTCTTAAGATGGAAGTAGGAGTAGAAAGAGACCTTGAGGATCCTCCATGCTTCTCACTCATGCATAATCATTCCCCTCGGGTGAGATGCTCACTCTACGTGCCCGGGGGAGTTTTTGTTTCAATAATGCAACATTCTTTACTGACTATTTCGTAACAACTGTGAGAAAATGGGTAACGGTTAGCTACCCACACAGGCAGCACGTACTTCTTCCCGACCTCGTTATTGCGCAGCCAAACCGCGAGGGCTTCTATCTTGCTCATCGATGCGAACGACGATCGCTTTCGAAGGACGAGCAGGGGAAAATGCAGATAAAAAAAAAAGAAAACCTGATGGAGAAAAAAAAAAAAACCACATCCGTAAATTCGCGAATGTTTTCTTCCCCGGTTCGAATCCATGCCGCTACCTGAACAAATCGAACAAAAAGGAACATCGCCGAGCTTCACACAATATCCTCTCACGTGAAGGGACGATGTCTACCGTGATCAATCTATGAAGCTCTCTCCCGAGGATTTCAGAAGACCTTGCTCATTGGTTGAAGCGGCTAAGTCGGGTGCTCTTTTGGATCCATCCGGGGAGAACAGAGCGAGAAAGATAGATTTCGAGTGGTTTCGAAAGATAGATTTCGATCATAGATTTCGAGTGCTTCTGAATTTGATGGATCGACGACTTTAATTTCGGCCGAATCACCGGAGAATAACTTTTGGACCTCGCGAAGCTGCCGAGAAATCAGTAGCGCCTTTCTAAACTTCCCCTCAAGCATCTCGTTTGTCTTCGTGACGACACTTCGATTCTCGAAGTAAGTTGTTATCTTCCTTAGCCTTGGCTTCCTGCTTCCCATTCGAGCCGGCAATGCTGTAGAATTATGAGTCGCAAATCTGCCGCGTCCACCGGCTCCGTACATATATCAGGAGATTGCAAAATGCCCATACGGTCGGGGGTGAGGAATGAGCCTACGGGATCCGAAGGGGAAGGTAAGCCTAAAGGGAAAGATGAGGTAGTGTTTGGTTGGTATGCTTCTCATGGTGACGACAGGGGATTGTACACCCGCTGCAGATGATGCAACGGAAAGGTCCCTAGGGTCGACAGCAATTCAACTGTGATGCCCACTTTCTTTTCCCAAACTGAATCTCATTCATCTTGACCTAGTCTCCAGGCTCATCCGTGTGTCCTACTCCTCTATGCAAGCAGTAATGATCGGATCCGAGTGGTCTTAACTCTCTCTCACTCCCTCTCTCTCTCTCTCTCTCTCTCTGCCCCCCCGCGTAGGGAAATCCAGTCGGAACGTGACGTATTTCTCGACCTCAGAGGCTCATCAGCGGTCAATTCCGTGACGGATAATATAGATTCTCGTAATGAATACGAGGATCTTTCGGCGAGAATTGATGGACTCGCTAATACTGGGTGCACCATAATCTTGTTCATCTCTTTCGTAGTTGGAAAAAGCGAGAAGAAAATTTCAGTAGTAGTTGTCAACACCAAGGATTGTTTCACGCTAACATTTTGATGATAAGGAACATTCAACACGCATATTTCTTGCTTGCCTTCGACAGAACTTCGGTCACAAAATGTAAATTCAGGTATAAATTTTTCACGTTTAAATATCAGGATTCCTTCGAAGTTGTGCATCATTATTCCGCCCAGACAACTTAAAAATATGGAGGGGGTGGGGTGAAGAAAAGCTCTTAGTGCAGAGGTCAGCAGATAATGGTAAAAGGCTTGAATAATGCAAAAGACTGTTTCTGGAGGGAAAGACTATCCCTTGTTAGTGGGATGAGGGG